TCTGTTACTAGAGAATCATGACCATTTGGAAGTATCATGTATCTCCTTCTCATATTACTTGTGTTCAGAGATAGAGATTCATATCTGGTGGGTCAGAATTTCTACCATTTTAATAATATGGTCTTATTAGTGACTTGCTTCTTATGGTTATTTCTTTGGGTATCATTTTGTTTTGCAAAGTTAGCTTTATTTCTATCTGGTCACTATATATTTATATCTATATATTTCTAAAATAGTTTCCCTGCAACCTCTTTTGTTGTGTTTAGTGAATTAAAGCACAGTGCATACACATTGGAGTTCGAGATACCTACTGTCTCTTAGGGTCATGTAAGAGTGGAGACACTCTAGCAGTTCTGCTAGGTGGTATAGATTTATGTGCGAGGTACACACTTTGTGGCTACTCCTACAATGGGAGTAATAGTCCCTATTAGGAAATGGGGGTTCCCTCAAAAATCATTGATGTTGGCTCTGTTACTTATGAGGACCTCTTGCACTGGCAGCATCTGTACTGGGAGGAGGCCTAAAGCACTTGTCCCCTGATCAAATCATAGCATGGTACCAGATAGTTAATGGGTCAATGCCGTAATCTGGCTGGGCACAAATAACCGGGAGGTCGAGCCACTTGTAGATTCAAGCAGGAACGAACTTTATTTTTGAACTCACGCAAAGGCCACCCAGGCGACCCTCCAGGAACTCCAGGCAAGTTCAACCGGAACTCAACCAACCCATGCGAACTCTCTAGTAACTCAGTGAGAGCTCAGCAATAGCGGACACCCGAGGCAGCAGGAACCGCCTCTTCTGGCAAAATGCCAGGCACCATCTTGACCTAGCCATGGCTCTCAACAGGTCAAAGTAGTGTCAGGAACCATAGTACCTCCTCTGTGGTGCTCATATCCAGTCCTGACAGCCATGCATGGTCAGACAAGATGTGGGGGTGGCTGGTGGTGGGAACTGCATAGGTGTAGTGGTAGCAGGGATTGTGTATTCCTTTCTGCTGCTACTGTGGGAGTACTTTCCATGGGCAGTACTTTGGGTCCCCCCTGGTTGTGCACTCTGTGGGATAAGGAAATGGGTGAGGTTGTTCTTTCTCTTTTTATTTCAGTTATAGTTCCTCCAAGGCAACGAGTAGAAATGAGATGTGGCTGCAGCCAAAGTTTTGTATGGGCTTCATTGTTCCATGTGTGCTTGAGGATGTGCTGTTGGCTGGGGCTTTTCTTCTCCTTATTCTTTCAGCTGTAGACTGTAGGGAGTGAATAGGTCAGGTTGTGGATGAAGTCAGAAAAAAAAATTCCTCTCAGGACCTTTCTTTGCCAGGGGTGGGGAGGTGGCCTTGGGCTTTTTTCCTCTGACTCTTTCAAGTAAAGTACCCACCGAAAATGGAACAAGAGTGGGGCATGGTCAGCAGTGGGAAAAGTTTCTCTATAAACCTTTATAGGTCATGTGCTCTGAAGGCAGCTAGCACCACAATTTTGCTCAAAGCAACCCTAGCAGGTCCATGTGGATTGGAAAGCACTGGAACCATGAAGTTCTTTACTTGCATTGTTATGACAGGTGCCTGTGGGGGTGGGTAGAGAGATGGTAAGAACTGCATGGGGGACTGCCATTAGTCCTGGAACCAATGGAAAACCACATGTGACTGGCCACTCCCTGGTCTCCTAGGGTGAGCTCCTAATCTCCCAGTTCTTGAGGGCATCACCTTCTGTTTCCCTCCACATTGAAACAACTGTCCCTCCAGTTCAGGGCACTCAGCTAGTTGAATTGAGAGTCACTCCAGCGAGCTGTATTTCATTCAAGACCCATAAGGAAGAGTCCTTCCGCAATATGATTAATCTATGGTTAATCTTCCAGGGCAGCTTAAAAGAATGATGTAGGCTAATATGGAAAGGTGCCCAAGATATACAAAACTGAAAAGAAATCAGCAGGAGTTCGGCTTATTCTCTATGTATCACTGCCCAGATCCATCCTCTGCGTTCTTATCCTGCTGGGTCCTGGGAGGTGCCAGCTGGTTGAGTTTGGCCAGGGAGAGCAAAAGAGGAGCTGGAGGGAGGAGAGACTCTGAGTGTGTCCTGCTGTCTCCTTGCTTGGAAACAACACCATGGTAGTAGCTGGATATCTTCAGAATTACTATTTATTCCAGTGGCCTTTTCTTCTGGCTCTTTTTCACTCAGCTCCTTCACTGAAGCTAAGTTCTTCACCTTGTTCCTTCTGTTCTGGGGCAGTGATGGCTCCCTGCCTTTGTTGGCCTCTGGGAGTCTCACTATGACTTGTGCACATTTTACACCAACAGTCACTAGAGGTGGTTTTGATTTTTGAGTATTTTAAGAAAAGTTTAAATGATATCTTTTGACTTTTACTCTTTCTTAGAGGTCTTCCAGAATCCAAAGTGTAAAGTATGCACTAAAAATACAATAAAACTTATTTAATCTTTTATCATATAGTCTTGTTGAAATCTTTTACAAATTTGCAAAACATTATGGAATCTTAGCAATCATATTGCCTCTATCTTGAAATATTTTGCTATTTCATAATCCCACTGATTATATCATCATGGCAATCACTGAAGTTATTTTTAAAACATTATTAAAAGAAATATTAAAATAATGAGAAATGGAATAATGATTAAAGGCCCTAGAAGTTTGTTATGGTTTATATATGTAGTGGCCCCAAAAGCTTATCTGTGAGACAATGCAAGAATATTCAGAGCTGAAATGATTGTGTTATGAGAGTTTTAAACTAATTTTCTACTGAAAGGGATTAACTGGGTGAAGACTGTAGGAGATAGGGTGCGCTGGAGGAGGTGGGTCATTGGGGGCATGCCTTGGGGTTTTATATTTGCTCCCTGGTGAGCAGAGCTCCCTGTGCTTCCTGTTGGCCATGTTCTGAACTGCTTTCCTCTACCATGCTCTTCCACCATGAGGTTCTGCCTCACCTTGGGTCCAGAGCTATTCAGTCAGCCAGCTAAAGACTGAATCTCTGAAACCATGAGCCAAAATAAATTTTTTCTTTCTCTACATTGTTCTTGTCAGGTCTTTTGGTCACAGAAATAAAAAATCTGACTAGAACAAAAGTGATGTGAGAGTGAAAACACATCATTTTCTGTTTTCTTATTGCATTGCCCAAAGGATTGTACAGTATTTCACTAGCCAGGTTAGTACACTATGGGGTCCCAGACATGGGAACATATAGGGGTTTCTGACCCCTATGGGAGTCCAAATTCAGACAATAGATCTCATCTCAATGTGGCTCCTGGCTATAGCACCCCAGAGGTTCTCTGAGAGATGATGTGAAACCCTTTTTCCAAAGCAAGACTGTGATATGAATTTCAGGTCACTTAGGCTCTAATCCTGTGAGGATTGCAAAACATTCTAAGAGCTAGGTTTGTAAGTATCTGTGCTGATGGTTTGCTGGGTTTCTCTCTTTCATACTTAACCCTGCAGAGGGGAGACTCCTTGCCTCTAGCTTTGGAACTATGGGAGGAAGTGCCAGGATATTTTATTTCTCTTACTATGCTGTTGTCTCAGGTCTCTGAATCTTGCCAGATTCCCGTTTCTCTCCTGCTGATTTTCAGTGTTCTCCCACCATCACTTATCTCAAAATGCAGCTAGACATTTGTTGCTTTGGTTCTTCCTTGTGGAGGAATAGGTGAGGGCTGCGTACCTCTGCTCAGCCATCTTGAAATGTGTGAGATATTCCCAGAGCCTAAGTATCAGCATCTGGAGAGCAGAGGGCCAGATATTTCTGGGAGAAGATCTACTGTCTGCATTTTTTTTTAAAGTAGAAGTGAAATAATGAATATGTTGCAGTATTAAACTTCATTAATTGAAAACTAATAGATGTTATTTAATAACCACATAATATATAGATATTTGCTAATGAAAATAATGAATAAAATTTGATTGAGAATAGAAATAACGAATTGATAAAATAATACAAAATAAAAATAAAATGTTCTCAGCAATTTGGGAGGCTGATACAGGAGGATCACGAATTCAAAGCCAGCCTCAGCAATGGCAAGGCGCTAAGCAACTCAATGAGACCCTGTCTCTAAACAAAATACAAAATAGGTCTGGGTGTGTGGCTCAGTGGTTGAATGCCCCTGAGTTCAATCCCCAGTACTGCACCCCCACACACACACACAAAAGTGTTATTTAAATTTAAGGAATATTATCTTAAATCATCTAACCAAACCATAGGTTTCTCAAGGTCTGAGTTGAAAAGTCCCTCATGTAGACATGTGTGACATCAGGTGGAAAATAGGTCGAGGTTAAAAGATGGAAATCTTTGAATAATGATCTTGGGACATCAGATTTTATCCCATAACCAGGAAAAGATCCCTCAAGGTATTGAACTTACATTGGAAAGTCGTGTGTAGGAGAGCAAAAGTGATGGGCATGCAGGATAGATTGGAAAAGAGGCACCAGGAGCCAGAAGAGACCTGCTGAAGCAATTAGGTATGAGACCTCGACATTCGGCCCTTGGGCTATACCTATGGTCATTACAAACAATCTGAAACTTTTTGAAGAACACGTGCTTGTGACTGACCAGATAAAGGAGAAACTCTGAAAGGATCAAGTGATTAGCTTGGGAGGCCGCTGGAAAGTGGTGTCCTCACAGAACAAGGAATTTGTGGCTGGGGAAGACAGCAGCAGCTCCTGAGAGGGATGGAGATGGAGTTTAGGTGGATGATGTAGATGGGCCTGAAGGACATCACCCTACTGTATGTTTTTTTTTTTTTTTTAAAGGGAAAGTCTGCACAATATATGATGGCTGCAGAATCCTTCTTCATGGCAAGTAATGAAGAAATACCATTGCATATACAGTTTCTCCTGTCCCCTTGGGTCTTTGGCATATGGCTATCATAAACTGATGTCACATTTTGAATTTAAAAGGCAATAAAAATTGGAATTTCAAAGAAAAGCCCAAGTAAAATATTTTTTTCTCTTTTCACTGAGATATTTTTTTCTGAACTGAAATAAAATATCCAACATATAGCCAATTAATTTTTTTTTTGCTCAGCAACAGATTTATTTTTCATTTACCAAAAAGACATGTTTAGCACAAAGGTAGATTATATGGAAAGATAAAGCATAACACATTTTAGATTTTCACTGATTTTTAAAAGAGAAACATTTCTCAACTTGTAGAACTGCATAAACACAAACATGAAAAACATTGTCACTTTTTTTTTTAAATTGGCAAGCATACTTGTCCTTCCTAAAATTAAAACTAAGCTGGTAACTTTGGAAACACTGCATTCTGTGAGATGTATAAATGCTTCTTTAGGAAAATCCACATGTTGGTTCAAGTTGCAGTAATCACACGTTTAGGTATTGAAAGAACTGAACTCTTAAGACAGGCAGGTATTCTTTTTTAAAACATAATGTCAAATGTTAACTCTGGGTGTATGCAGAGTATTCTTGGCTAGGCTACTGTACTAACAGTGGCTAAAATTAGAAGTGAGGACTTTTTTTCAGTTGACTTACTTTGCTGTTACTACTATTATTTCAAAATTTTTGGTTCCAGCTTTTCATTATTTATAAGTTAGTTTTCCTCTGTGATATCCCTTCAAAAGGCAAGAACTGGGAAGGTTAGAAGAGTAAGGAAAGCAGAAGCATAAGGACTAATATGTGGATGAGAGAAATGAATAAAGTAATCTAGCTCAATTAGTAGATATCATTATTCAAATGGCATTCTACCAGAGGCTTACAAAGACAGAGGAGGACACAGTGACCTCCCTTCATGAACTTGAAATCTATGTTGGGACACAATAAGTTTTATGCACGTGATTTAATAATCAAAGAATAAAATTTCCAAGGTAAAACAATATGCACACTCATGTATACCACAGACCTGAGAAAGTCCCATGTAATCAAACAGGCTCCAACAAGAAAATGTGTCACCATCTAAGCGAGGAATAGGATTTGCTAGAAATCTCAGACAGAAAATAACATAACTTCAGCAGGAAGAACAGGAGCTAGGAATAATTCAGAAAAGATCTGTATTGGAGGAACAGTAGGCAAAGCTGCAAGTTCATGGAGGGCCTTGAATATAATGCAAGGCATCAGAGTCTAATTCAAGAGGTGATAGGACGACACTGTGGGTTTTGTACAGGAAAGAAGCTTCGGAAATAATCCAGATGTTGTGTATCCATTATATTAAAACGACACATTGGGTTGAATGAAAACAAGATCAAACTCATGTTTGCATGCACAAATTTGATCTGGCCTTTCACTCTGGGAGCTTGTGATTGATTAACCTATGATATGATTTATCAGTTCAAATGAAGAAAAACTAGATTTAAAAAAATCTGTCTAATCATCTAACAATCTTACCTTTTAATAAACTGACATATAAGGCATTTGATTCTGCTGAAAATTAGTGCCGAGATGGCTTTCCAAAATTTATTCCTAAATTATCAACTCAATAAATGAACTAAGTGCTAAGGACTAAATTTTGTCTTCCAAAAATTCATATGCTGAAAACTCTAACCCCGGCACATTTGATCTTCACTTTCTGTCTCGAGAACTGTGAGAAATTCCTGTTGTTTAAGCCACCCAGTAGATGCTATTTTGTTATAGCTGCCTGAGCAGACTAAAATACATCCTATCATTATAAATAATCTCAAGCACTTTACTGATCCTCTTTCCATCTTCCCTGATTTTTTTCTTGGCTTTGTATGACATGAGTGGCAGGCAAGAGGAGCATGAATATATACTGAATGTTTAGTTAGCATCTGTTAGGCACTGTACATATCTAATTTGATCCTGGAAGGAATATGTGACACAATGATCTGTATAAGAAGTGGTTCAAGACAACTTTATTGAAAAAAAAAGTGATAGAAATGTACACAGTTTATAATCCACAATTAGGAGTCTTCTAAATAGTATACATGTATAACTAATTTATAACCACAGTGGACAATGAAAATAAAACACTCCTTGATAACTTTTCTTAAGGATAATCAATAATTTATTTCTTTTTTATTGTCACAGTTATCACAATTACCTAGCTACATGACCAATGTCACTACAAATCACAGGAAGATTGTCCACCTACACTTTACTGAGACAAAGACAACGGCCATTATGTGTTAAAAGTACAAGGTGTTAAAAAGAGGTGTTTATATGTGTAAACAGGATGTGGCATGTTATTTATTAACAGGTTCAAATTAGTACATATTATGCAAAGAAGCAAGCATAGAAATTGTTTTGGCATTGAATTATTAAAGTAGAAAATAAGTAAACTAGAGAAATAAATCCAGATTTTTAACTTACAATAGATCATTAAGGTAGGAAATTAATTGGCTTCTCAGTATTTTTGTTCAAGTTTTTTGTTTGTTTCCTTTCATTTTTTTGTTTTGTTTTGTTTTTTATAAATGAGTAATATGAATATATCACAAGTTAAGGAAAAGATCTCAGCCAAAAAAAGAAGGTACTGGCATATGAAAAACAAATGAAAAATTACCAGGTTATTTTGCTTACAAAAAATTTAAACTATAAAGAGTCACAAAATATATATAAAAACGCCACATTGAACGAGGCAATCATACTCTACCGAAACTGGTAGCACCCTCTGAAAATCAGTTGCATTCCATTCATTTGGTCATACGGTGGTGACTGACAAAAAGGCATTATGAACTCTTGTGCCATCGGGAGACTTGGCGCCATGGGTCATCAGTTCTTGGATTGTCATCCAGTTATCTAAAATTTTCTTGTTTCTCTTTTTCATCATCTTTTTGTGACTCAGTTCAATGATGTTGATCTCCTTCTTGCCCTCGCTGCCACTCTGAGGACTCTCCTTAAGGCATTCCAGCCGGCTCCGCATCATGAACTCCCGGCGCCTTCGCTGCTCTTTGGCCCGAACCAGGTGTTGTTTCCTCTCCTCTTTGCTCCAGTAGCGCCCCATTTTCATCTCACTCATGGTGTCATCATCTGTGGTCATGCCACTCCGCTCCTCCTTGATCTTTAAGGCACGTTCCTTCAGAATTCGGTCTCGCACTGGTCTCTTGGTGATGTACCGGGTCCCGTCACTCCTAATTTTTACCTTCCACTCCATCTTGGGCTCGGAACCCTTCTGAGATTCCTTGCACATGCTCACCAGACTGAGCTGGCTCTGGGCATACTCCACCGCAGACTTCTGTTGGATTAACTGCATGTAGCTTTGATAATGGCGAGCGTGGGCTGGGATGTTTGCATACCTATAGGAGGAGCTGTGATAAGGAGAGAGGTAAGGGACGTGTTCACTAACTGTCTTCTCATGATCTGGAAGCGTGCTGCTTTCCAAACTCTTCTCCTGGCTTTCAATGCTACAAACTTGTTCAGTGGTTTTGGCTTTGGTGGATGTCGACTCTTTGCTACTCTGTCCAGAAGGTGCTTGGTGGGTTGCAATTGTGCTTCTCAGGTTTTTCTTATTGGTGAGGTTGATCAATCTGGGAAGGGAACTGTCAGGGGAACGGTCTACGGTTAGTGGTGTACTTCTGCAGCTTTCAGCTGTGTTATAAGCACTAGAACTGTCCTTGTCTGACTTCTCTGGATGTTCGATGATGTCATCTAATTTCCCCCTTTGCATATCGAGGCTGGTGTTGTAATTTCGGAAGCCTCCATCATGTAAAGCCCAGATGTCTCCATATTGGTCTGTCACTTTCTGGAGCCTGTGAGCCTGCATAATATTCTGGCACTCAAGTTCAATGTTTCTTAGCTCTTCATTAAGTAACTGTAGCTCATGCTCCACTCCCTCTTGCTCCCCCTGATTGCACTCAATTGTGCTGCTTGAGTAATACAGGTCATACTCTCCATGGTTTTGAATCTTGCATTTGAGCTCCAAGAGCTGCCGGAATCTTTCACACTCCTCATCGTGGTTGCCAACACAGTCTGAGTCAATGTATTCACCACACACAAAGCTCTCGTTGCACTGAAGTTCCACGCTTCCTAGGGTGTCTTGGCTTTGCCCCAGCTCTCTCTTGCTCTTCAAAGATGTACCGCTGGGGTCCTCTGCTGTGTTCTCCTGCTCTGAACTCTCCTCATTTCTCAGGCTCTCATCTGTGCGCCCCACCCCACTGTCCTTCTCATGGTTGTTGGAGGAGGATGTTGCTGTGTCTGTTGTGCCTTCTTCTTCTTCTTGCTTTTTTGGCTGAGAAAATAAAGTTGAGAGAACAAAGGAAAATGATCTGAAAAACATTGATTGTTGAAAATTGCTTGTAAAACAATGCTTCTTGGCAAAATGCAATTCCTAGAAAGCTGCTCTAATTTTAGTGTCTATATAAAGATATAGATTAGTATCAGGAATGAGGACAATTAGCTCATGGAAACCTTCTAGGCAATGAAATAGAGAAAATGAAAGTTGCTTGGTTGTGCCTGTGATATTCACTTGGGTATAAATAAGAGGACACATGTAAATGAGTGACTCTTTTTTTTTTTTAATTTAAGCAAACAAAGTGATATGGGAATTGCTTTTATAGATTTGTCTCCTATTTGAAAATCTCTGAGATGAAGATGTATAAATGAAACACCTTTATGAATCTCTGAGATGAAAATACATAGAAAGATAAGACAGAATATGTTGATGGTCTTCAGCAATATGAGACCTGGAGTTCAGAGGCCGTAGTCACCTATTTTTTTTTTCTTTTGAGTTTTCTTCAAGTTTAGAGCCAACTTTATTGACTTAGTAATATGCTGACAATAGTAAGCCCAACACTACAAAATTGCAGGATGAGTTTTACGTTGTGTATGAGAGCCCAAAATCTTTCCATCTATAGATGTGGAAGGTTAATCCCAGATGAATTCAGGTTATTACTAACAGAGGGATAAGAGGCAAAGCTATATCTCCTGGAACTTCTTATGTTGCCAGCATGGCATATTCTTGAGTACATGTGTTGACCTCAGTGCAATCTTGAAATCACATCTCTCAAAAGCAACAACAATTTCTTAGGACTCATTTCAGTTACATAAAAATATTTTTCTACTTTCAACCAGTAATTTCTTTCAGATGTAAGAATTGGTGCATTGCAAGTAAAATCAGCTAAGGCCTGGACCCATTTGGACATAAATTCCTTCAATAACAAAGTTCTTTAGTTATACCAGGAAAAGCCTCCAGGCCTGGCAGTAACCATTCTTACGCTTTGGAACCAGCTTTTTAAGAATGGAAATGAGCAGAAGAAGCCAGGTTGTCTGGTTGATGGTGTCAAAAACTCAAATGATCCTGCACAGAACCTAACACACCCAATTTATGAAGAGGCATGTGAAGAGGTATGCCATCCAAACAGTAAGCAACTTTACTTCCTCCCTGTAAGTTCTCCTGCTCCCACTAACTGGGGAAGCAGATTTCAGTTCCTTTTTAGCTCTTGGACCCTTTTTTGATTGACAACACAATAAATATTTTTTATTTGTGCAAAAGCCTGGTGCATTATATTGGCTTCCATGTGTTCTGGGCAGTGGTTGCTTGTTTAATAACATTTCTAGTGATCCAGATAGACCTTGAGTCCTGGGACAGCCTCTCTGGGGTTCTTTTGCCTCTCAGCAGGGTGCAGTTGTGGTTGCTGAACTTTGGTGGCCACTTGGACTGATGTTAGTCTGGAAGGTGCAACTGCCTGAGCTTACTTCCTATGCAGCATTCCTAACCATCTGAGCCTGCTTTATTATAAAACTGAACTGCTCCCAAGAACAAGAAGTCACTGGGAGAGTAAGACTATTAAGAACAACTCTGCCTCAAACTGAACTCTCTCTCTGGTTTAGGGGTATGAATTGCCCCTCTAGTTTTGACTTTTGAGGATGAAATAATCTCTGTGGGAGTCCTGGTATTTTCCAATTTCTGGAGTCTGTATTTAGAGTCCAAATAATAAGGATTCACTGATGGGCTACTTAGTAGTTTTCTGGTCTGCTCTGGAGGACACTATGACTTAATGTAATTGTTTTATTTTTATTTTTTGCCTATTACTGGTAGTCTGTAATGATTGTAAAAAAATGTGTTTGTAATAATTATTTTGATAGAGGAAGGTAAGATATTATTTGGTGGCTGTAGACATAGTCCTATTAGAATATTTATCTACTCGAAGGTCCCTGGACACAAAAGGAAAGAGATGAATGCCCCCTGCAGCCTACTCTGTCCCCACAGGTGACTAGATTTTTATGGAGGTAACTCACCTCTAATGTGCAATGGCCTAATAGGGAACCTCTTCTGAAGAACACACCCTACTCCTGGTGTGGAGGGCACTTTCACAACTCAACTGACGGATTCACATGAGAGTGGTCATAATACCTTGAGCCATCTCACACCCCTTGGTGTTTGGGGTTTTCTGAGACACACAAAAGGGGATATCTGGCCCATTGGTGACTCTGAGAAAGAATCCCCATAAGGAGCATATTATTAGACTGAAAGGTTTTCTAAACACTCACTCTTGTTGTAGTTATAAGATAAACTTCTCAAATAATGGTCCTGGAGACATCACTGGACAGAAATTAATTCAAACCCATCAAAGTAAGCTGCCTCCAGAATTCCTAGGAATAGTTTGGGTGGGGTACCTGCGGCTACTTCCCTCTTTTTGGCCGGGTTTCCCCGATACCTTTATAACATAATTGAGCTCATGTTAATGTCTTATGGTTTCCCCCTCCCACCCCTCAGTAAATTCACTTTTGTTTCTTTGCACCTGTTCTACTATTTTTGGATTGGCATACCTGATTTAAAAATCTCTCATAATCACCTTTAAGATAATTCTTAGAACTACAATTATAGAGTTAACATGCAAAGGCTTTTAGCTCTCTTTCTAATCTGTTGATTATTCAAGGTTGCTCAGAAGTTTGTTATTTCAGTTAGTCTTAACTAAAAGGGCAATATCTAAGAATTAACTCCGAGATTCATTGAGATAAAGAAATCTCAAAGAAGGTATTTTTCTTTTTTCTTTTTTTTTTTTTAATTTAAGCAAACAAAGTGACAAGGGAATTGCTTTACCTGAAACATTTGGTCCAAAGCATAAGAGTTGTAAATGAATATTAGCAGGTGACCTTAACTTGTTTGATTTGGTCATGAATATACTTTGTTTACACACACACACACACACACACACGCATATATATCCTACATATATGTATATATACACACACATATGCATAACTACTCCCTGTTAGATTTTGCCTTTTATAGAGAATAATTTGTCTCTGCCCTAATGAGGTGCATATGTAGTTCTTTCTCTGTGAATGGGGTAAAGTAATTTTCTCCTCTGGCACATCATATAAAAATTATACAATAATAACAGGGCAGTTATAGATTATATTTGCCTTACATCTAAGTTTACTTACTACTGTATATATTTCTTTTCTCTAACAGGTATAATTACATAATTAAATATAGTAAAAACTGTTAGTGCTAAAGAGGGATGGAATGTGTAATAAAAGGTATTAAAAACAAGTCTAAAAAGATCTCTCTAGGTAATTGCTATTTTGTTCCACATAACAAATGTAACGTAATTTGGAGGGAGAAGATGATCATATATCATGTCATATTCTAGGATTCTTAATCTTTTCCTAGAAAATTTTCCCTCATTTGTTAAAAACATACTGATTTTCCTCAACAATGGTGAGGTGCTAAGTAACTCAGTGAGACCCTATCTCTAAATAAAATACAAAAAAGGGCTGGGGATGTGGCTCAGTGGTTGAGTGTCCCTGGGTTCAATGCCTGGTACCCACCCCATCACTACCACCACCACCAAAAAAAAAAATTACTGATTTTGGTTCTTCTTTTTGTGGTGCTGGAGATTGAACCCAGGGTCTTGCATGTGCTAGGCAAGTACTCTACCACTGAGCTATATCCTCAGCCTTAGGACATATTAATTTTAAATGTTTTATTGATAACAAAGTTATAAGTGATCATAACTGACAGTGGAAACTTCTTGCAACCTCTGGCATCTCTGACTATAAGGTCACAATAGTATCAAATGTGTTGAGGTCTGCCTACTGTGCCACAAAACCCTCAGACATTATTGATATCATGTATTTGAGTTTATCACACTAATTACAATGATATTTTTCACATATTTTGTGATGAACTGAAAAAACTACAGGAAGACTAGTTTTTTTTTCTTTACATGCAGTTGAAGTACTGCAGTCAAATTATGCTAAGGGAGATGTTGCACAATATTTCAGTAGTAGCCATATGGGCCAGGAGAGTATGGAAAATGAAACTTTTTCATATCAGTAGGCATATGTATGGTTAGATATTTAATTTTAATTGAATTCCTTTTTCTTTTGTTACTGGTCTATGAATAATGGGCAAAATAGTTTTCCATTCTCAGATCTAGAATTCCTGGCTTCTAATGTAATGCTGCTCTGTCATTTATCATTTCCCTATGGAATTATTACAGTGACAGGCAATGTTTCTACCAAGACATTTCTAATGTAGTATTATTGTTTATAGGGGCAAAAGACTTTTAAAGGTTTCTGTACTTCTCATCATTTTTCAGTTTCATGGTGAAGAAAAATTTCCACACAATAAGAATCTAACCTCAGGGACATCTAATGTTACCTCAAAAGACCTAACATTTGTATTACGTCTGATGAGTAGGCAGCATTTGACACCATATCACTTCACCTGGGCAGGATTTCTCCCTTCCCTTTTTCAACATCCTCCTGTCAATTCTGTATCAGGTCACATTTTGTATCCAAGAGAGAAAAAGCCTGGAGCGAGGACTTTCTTGCTTACAACTAGCAACTGCCACCAAAAATATCTTTATTTGTGGCCAGTGTTGAAGTCATACATAAAAATTTCAGTCTGTCTCACCTATATTGAAAAGCAATGAACACAGTAGCAGAGTCACTTCTGAGCATAAACTGCAGGCTGTGTGGTAGCCAAGGAGCAATGGTCAGCACATGAGTACATCACACATGGCTAGGCAAATGTGTAGTTTGAGATCTGATGATTTATTTAATATATGAACATGCGCACCCACACGTTTGTCCTGAGATGTTAGCATGTAAACACATTTCATTTTTCAGCTGGGTTAAGTTACAGAATGTTTGTTTCATGTGGTTAAGCCTATCAGGATTTTTTAAAAATTATTTTTAGGAGTATTAAGAAGAATTAATATTTAAAATAGGATGATAATTAAACAAAGCAGAAAACTGAGATTGAAGTGGTAACAAAATTACATCAATCAGATGAATATCATGAATTTAAAAATCTAAATTATTTGATATTGGTTTTATATAGTGAGAATGTAAAAATAATGAAAAAGATGCCAAGCCTCACTTTGCCATAGCCACTCTGTGATCTTTACTATTGATTAGTCATTTAAGAACAGAAATTCTGTCAGTTTTTACAAAAAATGTTTTATTTTTTGCATTCTGAGTATTCAAGTGTGGTACTTGGAACGTAATAGAAACTAAAAATTTTTGTTAAATGAGTGGGTGACTTTAAGACCAAATGGTATCAAAATCTCAAATGACGTCATAGAAGATGTTGCACAATGTGTCAACAGCAGCCATTGGACCAAAGATAATCTGATTATTCAGGAGTATACAGATGTAATCATGTCACCAAATATGCAGATAAGATTGATGGTTTATATCTTGTCTCATTATCCAATAGTCATAACCTAAATATTCAAACAGATACATTAACATTGTGAAGTTTAAATATTACTTTTTGAAGGTTTGCCTCATGGGATATAGTTCGTCTCCAGCTAGCCTATTAGCAAGCAGCTCACGGTTTTACTATAAATTTCTGTAATTAGGTTGAAACAGTACCTGGGTCAACATTTGAATACTATTGTACTCTATTAACAACAGTGTCTGAGCTTCCCAAGCTAGAAATATTCTTAACAGAAAAAAAAAAAAAATGTATTCCTTAGGCTTCATTTGAGATGATCATTTGCTCTAAAAAATTACCATTACAGAGATGTTTGATCAAACCCTTAGATTGTGGTTTTTTTTTTCCCTCCATTTATGGTTCTACATTTAAATAAAGAACTAGCAACATATCAAATGCTGTCATTCAAATTGTTGGCCCTACCTGCTCCACCTCATTGGCAGTGTGCTGCATTGCTTCATTATGCTGTTCTTCCAACATTTCTAAGTTTAACTCCTCTAAGAATTCATTCCTTTCATCTTCCAGCCAGCCTTCATCCAGCTGCAAAAGAATGTATTAGTACATTATATTATGTTAGTGAGAACTCATGCTAAAATAGGGTAAACTTAAGTGGCGATGCCTGACCAGTTCCTTTTATCATAATGATTCTCTTCAGAATACCAGCCTCCTATAGTTCACCTCTCAGAAAGAAGAAAAGGTAATACAAAAAAATAAAATTGGATTCTTTTATCCTTTCCTGCAACAATGCTACAGATTTTCTCCCATAAGTGAGTAAATCTCACAGCATAGAACATTACCTTCTTTCAAAATGTATGAAAAGCATACTGCATAATCCATAGATGTCATGCTCATTACTTCCAACAGTCCCTGAGTTGAAAGAACTGCAATGATACTAATAGGACTATGGGGCAATTAGGTGCTTTTTTTCCTTACAACAACCCCCAATAAGATCATCTGCAAAGTCACCCCACAGGCTGATGTAACCCTCATCCTGTTTTTGTTGTTTCTTTGTTTTTGTTTTTTACTTTTAGACGGGTAGCTCCCAAGGTAACAAGATAGTTGACAAGATGGAACTAACATCTATTTCATTTGTAAATAATGGACACGAAAAATACATCAATGCTGTATCATGTCTGTTTGTTTATTTTCTCAGGCACTGGGTATCAAACCTAGGGCCTCATGCATACAAAGCCTGTGCTGTCTCACTGAGCTACAACCCCAGATTCCATCCTATATCAACTCACTTTTGAGGCTCAATTACTAGAAAAAAGACTTGTTGATGGCAGATGAAACTGTGTATAGCATATAGAGCTTTATTTGTGGGTGCAAGATGCATACATTCTTGTGGGAATCTTACACAAATGAAACTGAATAAATGCTTTTGTCTCCTCCACAAAATGAAGTGAAGAGTTGGTGATTACCTTTGCTAATATGATTGGTGTTGACAGTCAATACAGCTAATTTGCCTCAAAGTGGATTTTGGAGCTGGATTACATAAATTAGCTGTCTATAGTTATTAAATGAATTAGGTTATTGTCAAAACTCTGCTTTACTCTGTGTTACAAAGAAATGACTTTCTAGTGAGCAAACATGGACAATAAAGTGCTTTCACCAACAAACTGGTAAAATAAGCTTTTAAATTGAATTGAACTTTTAAAACTTTAAAACATACACAAACCTGAAAGAGGCTAGAGTTGTAGATCAGTGATAGTGCTCTTGCCTAGCACACATGTAAGGCACTGGGTTCGATCCCCAGCACCACATGAAAATTAATAAATAAAATAAAGGTATTTTTTTCCATCCACAACTAAAAAAAAATTTAAAATACAAAATAAACCTGTAAGGTCAATAAAACCTCATCAAAAAGGAATTAGCATGTATGTATCACTTTCATTAACAAGAAGGCAAATCATAGATTTTGTGTTATCTATTAAAGACCATGTAGAACAAACTTTAATCCAACTGGAGCCAAAAGTATGGACACAATTTTGACCCTCATTTATCTTAATATGGCCTGAATAAATTGACCTAACTGCACTCCACTGACTTTGATATGCAGATGAGCTATGATAATCATGCTGACTAAAATTTTAAATTCAGTCCAATTTATAATTGTCCAAATTTACATTCTGTAATCCCTTTTAAGTGTCATGAAGCTACAAATGCCAGACTCTAAAAGAAATTACTTAAAGCTAAAAATGTTTGCTTTTCATGAACACAGCAAGGATTTTTTTCTTTAATTAGTTCAAAACAAAATATTTCCTAATACTGATATAGTGACTGATGGAACAGAGTCTTTTGAGGTTTAAATGAAGTGGTAAAAAAGGTAAAGAGAACTAAGTAGAAATTAATGATTCCCTATTACTCTTTTCATATGGGCTAACCCTATACAACCCTGAGATGTCATATATAGTCAGCACGCCTATTTTAATAAACTTCCCCACAGGCTGGGAAGTAGAGGGAGATTCTTCTTGCTGGCTTCCTTTCCCTATTGTATTTCCCTTTCTACTTAGACATTCATTCACTGCTGTCTGAGTCTAATGCTGCAACAGAGATTGGCATCCCTCTTGAGCTGAGCTGCAGGAAAGGAAGAATTGTCTGCATAATACAGTGGGGATCTGTCTGCACCAGAGTGGACAATATGTAACATTGCAGAAAAGGAACAATATACACTGTCTCAAAAGTAGTGGCTACAGGTTCCTATGAGAACCCTCTCTGCCCCTATGTCCTGAGGGGAATAGGACAGAAAAGCAATATCTTTAATGGTCTGAGGAAGAAAATGGGCAGGAAATGAAAGAGAGGTGACAGGGAATGAAGGAAATGAGTTATTTAAAAAATATTGCACAGATGCACAATACTGCCGCTAGCAACTTTGTAGATCATTTCCAAGAATCTAGCGAGTATTCGAAGCATTTTTAAAAAACATTCTAAAAGCACACAAAATGCTTCCACATTCTCCCTGAATAAAATACACATGCAAAAAAATGCAGTGAGATATATTAACTTTGAAGGGAAAAATGGGTAATATAAAGACAACTTTTTTTGTTTCCTTCTTTTTTTGGGGGGGTAGTGACTTTATATCATGTCTGCTTAAATTGCATTTTTAAGGTGTATATTTTCTTTGCTGATTTCTCTGGAAATCTGATTTTCTTTAGGCAATTAGCTTCTTTTCAGTGCAATGAAGCCTTCTTTAGGATCAATGAGCTAATGCACATCCTGATTTTGACAGGCAGGGTAGCATCCTATGGAGTCAGAGGACCATCTTTGATCAATTGGGGAAAGTAAGTCTCATTTGAAAATTCATTCTCCAATATTGATTCTTTTGAGGGAAAGACCAGGAGTGTAGCCAAATATTCAAAGATGCCACTAGTTCTGCCAAGCATATGTATTCCATCAAAGATTCAGAGGATCTGGTCCTGTGTCATTAATTTCTATTCTTTTCATAGCCCATTATGGCCGTTATGCGGCATAGTTTAAGGAAATGCCTTTAGTTCTAAATTAATGAGTTTCTCTAGCAGTTACACAAAAAGGGCAGGAAACCACCTTATAATATAAAGATTTCTTTTGCACGACTGAGTTCATTTCAATTTACCATGAATTTCACTAATATTTAGCCCTTTTATTCTGTTCTTTTTTCAAGAAAATGTGATCAGTGAGATAACAGATTTGAGAAATTTCCAGGTAATTGTTACAGTCTCATTCATATTTCAAAAATTCATACCACCTAGGCAACCCAGCCAGTTGTGTGGGGTCACTTCCCTACTCCTAAGACCTCAGGTGTGTGACTCTATTCTGCTCCAGGCTATGGCCGACTTTTATGAGAACCATTTAGAATGGTCAAGGGCATAAAGGAAATATATGCGGAAAGGGTGATCTTTTATAACCACTATATTCAAGTCAGGACTCAGTCTGACACTGAAATACACTTACTCAATGTAATTTATAGATAGTATGTAGTTACTGAGTCTGAAAAATATCAGATCAATAACCTAAGAGACAAATGGCGATATAACTAACTTCACTCAAACTACTGACAGATGGATAGAACGGTGACAATGTATTGTCCTTTCTGCATTGTGGTGGGATATAAAAAGGATATAAAAGGAAGTACCAATAGTACGTTTCTTCCACCATTACCTCTCCTTTATTTTCATGACATCTTCTTCGGTAAAGATATAACAGAATTCCTTTAGAAACATCAGATTTTTGGTTGGACAAATGTTTCTGTCATATCGAACTTGGAAAAAAATTCAACTACTATATATATGGAACACACCAAACTACATAAAATACCTTACATGACAGTTATTAGATATGCTAATGTTCTCATTAGAGATTCTTTCACCATACCTTCATATGCCAATTAAGTATTTTTAGATGGGAAGCTAATGTGAGGATTCACACAAAATTAAAAATCATATAAAGTCAACCATTTGTGTGACTTCATTTAAAAACTGGCAAATGGAAAGAGAGAATAATGATTCAATTTTGTGTGCTTTAAATATCCTCAAGTGGGATATTTAGCTGGTATTCTGTATAAGGCAGTCTTCAATGTATACTTTTTTTTGGTAAAGTTGGTAAATTAGAAAAGATCAGTCTTGGTTGTATTTTGTATGCTTGGTTTTACAGGTATCTATGAGGTTGATTTGATGTAGAATAGTAGATAATGATTGTAGTTTCATCCACAAAGTCAGTGAATATCGAGTACAGTCTGAGGACTTTTGATCTCCATTCTGACCTGAATCTCTGGCCTTGCAACAAGCAGCACGATTCTCTTACACTCATCACTAGACAGCAATGCCACTGCTTCTTCTCGATTCTGGACATCTTCCCCATTTATCTAGAAAACAAATGAAAGTGGCACATTAGTTTCCATTTCCACAATGCTGCGCACAATAAATGGCAAATATCAGCTCATTTATGGTAAATGTATGGACAATGAAGCTCACACAATGGGCTCATCTTCAGCCCCTCCGTGGAAAGTGCCTTCACTCAATTATGCGCTTACTGTAAGAGCCATATCGATCCCTGAAGGATGGCGGACATCAGAGGAAGCAGTTATGTTCATAAATGTCCAACCTGCGCCCTGGCAACATACATCTAGCAACACAATTAACCAGCCCCTGACAGGTGACGTTCATCTTTCTCCGCTCAGAGTAATGGAAGTGTCACTCTGAGATAATAGTGCTGGGGGAAGCAGGACCGGCAATACCACAACTGAAATCCGTCATCCTGCATGCTTGCTGTGAGCCAATTAGAGGGCTGCAGTATTATCTCTCACCAGGCGATGCTCCCAAGCCACTGCTGATTGCATTTTCACTTAATCATTTCATATTTGTGTGTGGGTCTGACTCAGATGCCCAAACATCACTCAGGGTGTATCTCAGTGCTTAGCTAATCAAAAGGAGAAACTCATCAGTAACCTCCTCATCAAAACTCCAGCTCCTTTCTAAGATTTCCTAACCCTAAACTCATGCAATATCTTAACTATACTTCAATGTTTTTAAAAATTAACATAGAATAAATTTGACTTGTTAATAAAAATGGGGGAAAGAAACTGATCTTCAGTAAACTTTAAGCTACACAGAAAAGATGCCTATGGCATTTGAAATCTGCATTTTTACTTTTTCTAAGTTCTAAAGATAGAGTAAATTAAACATCTAAAGTTTGTAATTTAAACTAGACTTTCATGGTCAAATGTATTTAGCTTTTAGTTTTTGTTTTACTATTTAAAAATTAAAATCTTATATTAAATGTTGAATTTCAAGACAATAAAAATTTTCATATCTAATATATAATCAAAAGATACGAAAAGAAAATTTCATATATTTTACCTAAGACAATTATTAAATTATTTCAATAAGAGACATATGGAAAATATGGCTGCACTAACCATTTTTTTCCATAATTAATATCCTTTAACTAAGGATTGCTGTGTAAAACATTAAGTAGACTACTGTGGTTTTCCCCTGTGAGACTCAGGGATGCTGGCTGAGGAAAGGAGGATAAACACAATGATTAGGAAGCAAGGAATCTCAACTTTAGACCACAATTATGGTCTTTTTTAAAAATAAATTTATTTATTTTTATGTGTTGCTGAGGATCAAACCCACTGCCTCAGAAGTGCCAGTCAAGCATTCTCCCACGGTGCCACAATCCCAGCCCCCATAATTATGATCTTTATTCTTAACCTCTTATCATATGTTTAAAAAGCACACAATCCTACCCACATGTTACATCTTCTCTGACAAATGCAAATACCACCTTCGTTTCTTGCTTACAATGTAGACAAGAAAGCCAACTTTTACAAGTTTCATGTGCATTTTTTTTTCAACCATAAATAAAATCTGTCAACCTAGAAAACAGGATCCATGATCCCCAAATGGGGAATAATGACAGAAAAGGGTCTGTTGTGGTTTTTTTTCTTTCTGATAAATGTATCAGAAAAGTTATGTATGTATTGAATCCAAGGTCTTTTTTTTTTCTCAAAGATAAATTTGGGTCTTCATGGATTCTACTGTACCTCCTCCATTCTATACTAAGTCTTATTTTAAAATAATGACTATGATTTTTATTCTCTTTTACCTTGGAGGGCTTATGTTCACTTTATAATAATTCTTTTAGTAGTATAGCTGTAATACAATTATATGTTTGTCAAACATGAACCTAATCATTTCATCTCCTCCCCACTATGGGCACATTTTGATTTTAACTGAGCTGAATGATTTCACACAAGTTATCTTCACCTTTTCTGTTTGAAATATAATTCTTACTACATTTCCCCCTGGTCTCCACTCAAAAATGAACATATGTCCCCATTCTTCATCTAAATTTCACTTGCCATCAATCTAAATATTCCTCATTCATATCAGTCTAAAGTTGTAATTATGTTTGCTATCTTAAAATGCATATAATAATGGTACAGAAGGTTGTTACAGAAGGTTTAAATAAGTGATTGGTACAAAAAATCGTATTCAATGTTGGTACACATTAGTATTGATGCAATTATTATAGTTATCACCATTTATACTTTAATTCTCAGTAAAGGCAAGACTCTTTCCTTTTATTTCTTGTTAAACGAAGCAAATATATTCATAAACAATAATTAAATCCACAGCACTAAACATGGTTCTATTTAGAAAGATATTTACCTTCTATTTATTAACTCTTAGCCATCAGGAAAAATATGGTTTTCTCTTTTCAGTCCCTTTCCTGTTGGTATTCATCTTTCTCCTCTGAAAACTCCTCTGGAGAGCTTGGTCTCCAGTTCTGCCAATTAGTCCTAGTTTTCATTTGGGGAGGGCTTGGTGCAGATCAGTTGTTGCAGAAACACTTATAGGCAGAATCATACCAAGGATGAAATGAATTTGCCTCAGAAATATGGCATTAAAATGTAATTTACTGTTTTCTTTTTCAAAATAAGGAACACTTTAGCCAACTGGTTGGTAGATCCCATTGTACTCAGGATTTGGTTTCATGCCCAAACTGATATTAAGGCAAAAAATGCAGACATGTGTTTCAGAAGATTCCTCTCAAGAAATGAAAAGCTTTTAGGAATGGTACCACATAGAGCCTCCAAACTTCAATTTCCTGTGCTCCTGAAAAAAATGGCTTAGGGATTCAGGACTGCTTGTGGGGAAGTTGCCTAGAAGACCCCACACTGACATAAAGGTGGAGAACCTCACAGCAAGGGAAGGAGACATATGGCTAGTCAAGTCTCTTCTCTTACAATTTTAAGCAGAGAGAGAGAGGAAGAGAACCAAGAAGGAGATAATATGTAACTTGTTTTAATAAATGAGGGAAATATTTGTGGATAATATATATCTCAGTTTACATAATCATATGTAAAGATTAGTTTCAAGATGGGTATTACTGTTGTCTTAGGAGAGATCTGGGAGTCAAAAATATCACTTTAGGCCCAATCTCCTGCATGGACATGAGAGAGAATGAGCCTAAATACTTAGAAATGGTCTGATATAGTTTCTCTGCTTATATGTATCAATTTTTGTTTCCTATATTATTGTACCAGAGGTTGATTGGTGACTGAAATTCTTGGCACCCAACTACCTACAGAATTTCTTAGGAAAAATCAATAATCTTAAGTAGAAAAGGAAAGATTTATTTCAAGTCTGTTTATATTTTAATATGGAGAGAAAAGGGTGAGTACAAAGTATAGAGATATAGATATTTAAAGAACACCAACAGGAAATAGCTATTCATAGGGAAGAAAATTCAAAAGTAGGAAGAAATTCTGAGGATAAGTTTATGTGTAGCACACAGAAAGGGCTCATCAGAAGTCTCCATATTCCACTGTTGAGTTCTGGCAGAGATCTGTCTGGAAGTAATCCTTCGGTACATGTCCCACTTCCTGGCCAGCATGAGACGGGGCTGCTTACATGGAGTGTTACACACTTACCATGCCAAGGAGAAAACAGGACACAGTGGTTTCTTCTTGGGAAAGCTGATAATTTATTTCAGCATTTAACTCTTGCTTTCTAGCTCAGAAATACTTTCTTTGGATGTGCAATTTTGTAAGAGGACTTCCCTAGGATAATTACTGTGGATGAATTTGACACAAGTTCTAGGCAGTGGCACAGAAACAGAACCATCAAGAGCTTGCAAAGGGAAAATACATGAGAACCAACAAGGTTCTCATGAAGCTATCCTAAGTGTGAGTACATGTGATGTTGTTGGGTGAGGTCATCTCACAAGCACCTGGTGTGCCAAATGGGAAAAAAAAAAATCTTAGCTACACACTAAGGGCAGGACCATAAACTGTGCTCTACTTAGGTCATTGTGAACAGAAAATTAGAATCCCAATTGCTCTAAAGAGATTCATTTAAATAAAAGCCAGTCAGGAAACCTCAAGGATAAGGAGTAAATCCTCTGTTTCCCTCACTCTCATTTCCCTGGGAAAGAAGTCATTAATTGTTCATTACATGGTATCCCATAATCTCTCATCAGCCATATGGGAGCTATTTGTCTATGGGTACAATTTTGTCACAGTTTTACTTAATATAATTCCACAAGCACCCTTAAGACATTGCTGCCTATGTGCGCAGATAGAATTGAGTTCTAGGCTTTTTAATGTGACATGTATTTATTCATTAAGTGTGACATATTTGTCACAGAATATAAAGTAATCAGGCAGCAAACAACACTTTATCAATCCTGCTGTTGTTTCTTCAATGAACCAACTCCATTAAGGAATGTTTTATTATCTTGCAGATTTTTCTTCAGAAATTTATCCACCCACAATATAGCTGAGACTCTAGAAATGTCAAAACATTGTATGTATGTATGGAAAGGTGAATTTTATTTCTAAAATGACACCCACAGGACTAATTTTAATCACTGTGTTTGTGTATCTGGTTAGCTGGAAATTAGCAAAGAAGTCAGGTGAGAAAATAATAGGAGGTGGTGGTGGAGAGTAGATGGTGAGAAGAAGTGGCAGCTGGTGACAGCCAAGAGATCAGTAAGAAAAATGACAATATGTAGACTCAGTATATCCAAATAGGGTCATTTAATATCAGGGCACAAAATGTCCTACATGTTTCAGTCATTGAGCATTTTATTTCATTATTGCATTGTGTAATGATTGCTGGGTATAGCATGACCCTGAGCATCAAAAGGTAACATCATTTTTAGTATATTTAATTGGAGATGGTAACACAATGAACAGTACATTTTAAATTATTTTCAAATTTAAAAAGTGAGCATTTTAAAAGCTTTTGTGCCTGGATGATACACTAAAATGGTACTCTTAATTTCTCAATGAGGCTGTTCAGGTCTTATTTATCCTATCATCCTTTCAACTGAATAGCTCATTTCATTCATTGAATTATTCCTGTGGATTGTGAAAGATGATGCAAATATGATGGCAAATAAGACTATGTCTTGGTTTCCTGGTTCACTTTTTCTTCCTGTGATGAATCCAAAGACAGACACAATTCCCTTTTGTTTAACTACAGGTCACTACTTACCATTCTCACAGAACTAAAAATGATATACTTCAGAGATTCTCTGCAAACTAGTGGGACCCCAAACGATCATTAACTCTTTGTCCTTAACTAATGGGAATCTTAGTAGAAGATTTTTTTGATGAAAAGGGAGTTCTGCTACAAAGAGGAAAAGAGAAAAAGAAGTGGTGGGATTCAGTGAGTGTCCCCTTGAAGAAGGAAGAGAAGAAAAGGCTGCAGATGCACAGCCACATTATGACGGTGTCATCCTGTATTGTGACCCTCTATGTAAACTGATGTCTTCCTGGGAGAGGTTGCCCAGAATGCTTGGAAGCAACTATCATAATTTTGAAACTGAGATTCTCCAAAGAAACATCCTCTGGAGGTCCACATACAGCAAGGAGAAACGGAAACTGTGTTACCCCAACTAGAAGTTCTGTTGGGTATTTTAACAGTGTGTATTCCTTCAACTTGCTATTATAGTTGTCCTCTCTCATTTACAGTTGTGATTGACAGTGAAGCTCAACCTAGAAGGACCTCTGTTTTCATTTGGGGGTTGATGGGGACACAGGAGCTGGGGAGCCTGTGTCTTTCCTGCATCCACTCTTTATGGGAGAGGACTCTGAAGGGATGGAATATGTACAGGCAGGTTTGGAGCAGAAAATCAAACTTTTGTTATTCCTGATTTGCCTGGAATTTTCTTGACAGTCCTGCAATCTCTATGTGTTCTGCTTATTGTCTCCTCATTAAACTGATATTTAATCACTTTCTATATTTTCACATTTCTATATGAAGAAGAAATTGTATTTCCTGGCCCCAGAAACTCATTAGTGAGTGGTTGAACTTTCTTTAGATGTGAAAACTTTCATTTAGTAAAGGAACATCTGGATCCAAGTTCACCTAATTTATTCTAGACAAGGCAGCAATTGTTACTGCTGATGCTGCTAGAAATAATAGCCACTAATGGTTATTAAACACTTTCACACACTGGGTTCAGCATTTTTCATGCATAATATGTGATCTTCACAACAATAATAGGTTATATAATTGTTACCACTTTCTAAGATGTGAAAATGGACTTGAAATGAAAGGAGGTTAAGTGATGTGCCCAGCCAAGCCAATGGTGGACCTGGGAGTTGAAGTCCAGGAATCCCACTCCAGAGATTGATATTAACCCATTAATTATTATCTGATAACTCTTAAGAAATGCTACCATCTTTACTTTAAAAATGTTCAAATGGTAGCTTTTCTATTTCATAGATTTAATATACAAAAGCAAAGACAAAATCTGTTCTCTAATGTTTTGTAAGAAACATAATAAAAACTTTTGGGTAGACAGTAGGAGATTTAAGGAAATAACCACACCACATACTTGCAAAATTCGATCCCCTTCTCGAATCCGTCCATCCTTGGCAGCGATGCTATTTGGATCTACCTGAAATGGAAAGGATATACATCTTTAAAGAGGCAGTCAGTATCCACCCAAGAACTTACAGATTCAGTTTTAAGTTCCTGGTTCAAAATTCTCTATTGATTTTTGACAGAGTGCATGTTGTATTTTTATCCATCAAAAATTACTACTCCTAGCCAGGCATGGTGGTGCTTACCTGTAATCCCAGGGGCTCCAGAGGCTGAGGCAGGAGGATCGATTATTCAAAGACAGCTTCAGCAATGGTGAGGTGCTAAGCAATTCAAGGTCTAAATATTATATAAAATAGGGCTGGGGATGAATTCCTGAGTTCAATCCTAGGTACCAAAAAAAATTACTAATCCTAAAAATGTAAATAGACTATTTTAGAGTTAACAATAATAAAATGAAGTGGATTAGAATAGAACTTGATTTGAAGACTTTTTTTTCTCCCTCCTTCCATCCATCCCTTCCTTCTTTCTCTTCCTTTTTCCCCCACATTCATTCATTTATTTCTGAATCTCAGTTGTCAGATGGTCTTCAGCTGACATGAAATGTTAATGTTAGGATTCTCTGGACTCAGGAAATTTTCTTTCTACTAAGTCAGTCTTTAAATCCTGCCCTGGCTGTCTTAGAAAAGCTGATAGTTATACTATAAGTCTACATTTATTAAAGGGATTTCTGTCTCATAAGTATATTAATTTATGAAGGGATTTATAACCTATCTTGCTTAAGAAATGAAAAAAGAAATCCTAGCTATACATTTTATTACTCAGTACCACTTTACATATAGGATCAAGTATTTTAACTGTAAACTATTTTAGAATAAATAGTTATTTAAAGGTCTAGCAAGAGTGTATCAGCATTTTAATGTGCTGAACTTGAGTGATGACTTACAGTTCACTGGGGGAATTCCACCTAGCAGATTTCTGATGGTTTCAAACTATTTACTTGGCTTGTTGCTTCAAAGCTTTTTTCCAAGCAAAGTATTTCAAATGTAGCCTGAAGTTGATCCAGTCTATCCAGATCTTTAATATTACTTTCTTATTAGGGGTGCCACCTAACAACTGAGTCTTAAGTGATAAATCAAATACATGCAACTATAATTATATAGAGGAGGGGTAAGAACAACATTCCTTCCAAGTCCATATGCTCAGTTCCTGTGGTTTCTTAATCATCCCTGGAAAGTGAAGCTTCAAATCTGACATTTAAATAACAGAGACTTATCGAAAGGAAGTGAGGGATCATCAATCAACTGTATCCCATTTAAAAGCTATTCACAATCTAAAACTTTGTCTTCAAAACTATAATCAAACTAATTTCAAACTCTTAACTTTCTACCTCTGTGCTTATTACAAAAGATAGTTCAGTAGGTATTTCTTTTACTTGCTCAATTTAATCAGAGGGATTGTCATAGCTTTACATTTGAAAGAAGTATGTAGATCAAATATTCCCTGGAGCATTTTCCATCGGAATAGCCAGTCAGCAAATTCTTTGGAAAAATGATAAATAATACATTCTACATTTATCAAGCTGTGTAGTTTTTCTGAGTTTGTTAATTATGTGATCACTTTCATATTCTAAACAGCTCTACAAAAACAATAATATAAAGATTGTTGCATTGAATTTCAAGTTGAGAAAGCTGAAGCTTGTCATGTTAGGTAATATTTTCAGCACCATGGCCATGAGAACTTGGAACAACATGGAAGAGCAATTGTATCTAGTTTGTGTAACTCTTGAGTATTTTTCTACAGGAATATAGATAGATAGCTTCTACACATACACACATACACACACACACACACACTTTTATATGTGTGTGTTTGCATGCTGTGTGCAATTTTCAATCATATGTAAATATAGTTTGTTTTTTTTTTTTTTTAAAATTCCATACTTTGCTATTTCTCATAAAATGATCTTTGGAACTTTTAAAAATATCATCGATGGTAATAAATTTTACTGGACACTTTTTCAAAATAATTAATTGCAAAGGTTTTTCACCTTTAGTTCCTCACTTCTTAAAAGTGATTATGGGATTGAATAAAACTGATAGATGTGCTCCTTGGGTATTCAAATTTATCCATCTCATCACTAGAGTAAAAGACGTGATTATTGTGAACATTAACTTAAAATAATTAGCTAATGCTATTGTTAACAGAACAATAAAAGAAGCAATGGAATGGAAGGACAAATGTTTGCAGATCAAAAACTTTGCTCCACTCTCTGCATTCTTATGAGAATTTATTTAAATTTACACAATGTTACTACTTTCACACTTTTCCTTGCTGGGATTCTATGGTAAAAGCATCCACATTAAACAAGCTGATAATAATTACATTACTTGGGCAGCATAATTTACTTTCCTAATTGAAAGTGACAGTATTGGAACGTGGCCAATGCTTCACATTCAAGCCTTGCAAGGATTTTCTCATTGTGAGTCCTTTCATTTCATCCCTCCCTTTCCTCGCCCCCTCCACAGCATTCTTACCTCGCTGACATAAATGCCCATGTCTTCTTCATCATCTGTTCTGTAGCAGACTGTCAGACCGAGCTTCTCCTGACTGCTAACACGACACAACTCGACCTCCTGAGAGAACAGCACACAGAGCAACATTTATCTCAGAGAAATCTCACAGCAGAATGGAGAAGGCACAAATATTCTTTGGGTCACCCTGGGAAGTTTGAATATTACTGCCCAACATCCGAAATTAACTCATGTGACCCAAATTATCAAAATTTACCTTCAATGTGTATTTCTGAATATTCATCCCAATGTTACATATCTCCATTGTGAAGTTGTTAAATACGAACATTATGTGATTTTTACATATTCATGTTATTGTGAAGTTGGAAATATGTAAAGTCTCAAAATGTTAAATATATATGTATATACAAATTATCAATCTATAAAATATTTGAGAATATCAAAGTAGATAGCAAAATCTCCTAAAATGTGTTTTCCTTTAAAAAAAAACATTTAAGTAAAATAAATTTAATAAAATAAATTTAAATTAAAAAAAAAACTCCATTGGACACATTCCATCAGTTCTTTTGAGTTCTCTACAATGTGACAATAAGCAAGTATTTCATGAGGTCAGGTCAAGGTTTTCTATTGTTTTATAAAAACTCTCACCCTTGGAAAGAAATGGGTTCATCCAGGCTGAAGGAAGAGACATCAACAGTCATATGGGGCAGAGGCAATGATTCAAAATGCAGCAGTAAATGAACATGAAAATACATTTACTGAAATACATGGCTAAGGGGCTTGAAATGTCAGACCTTAGATAATGTATACTGAATCTATTTCCTGATTTATGTTCAGTAAAATAATAAAAAGTTCAGTGTATTTCACTTTTATATAATGAAACAGACTTGTACTACTTTCAGAAGCAGAAGACTTCAGGATAAATCACCTTAATTCCCAGCATTAAAACACAAATTGATGCTCTAATCATGGAGCACTTGTTCCTATTGGATGAAGACTATATAGTAAATAATCAGAAGAGGAAGGACAAAATATATTTAAATTGGAAGTGAAGTCTGGATCTTGTTCCTGGGACTCAGCTCTGAGGGAATTATGCCTTTGTCTGTGTTGCTTCATGCCCCTTCTCCATTGCCTGCAAGAGGCATGGTCTTGATGCTCAGTAAACGCCAGGAAGGTTGCTTGATTTTACTTCAAAATATTTTCTACTGCACATTGCATTTTACAAAACAACTTTTATGGAGTTTTTCTTTGAAGGGAAATAGATTTGTGTGTGTGTGTGTGTGTGTGTGTGTATAAAGAAGATTACTAAGTTTAACAGTAGAGTGCTACAGTCTAAATGTTTGTGTTCACAAAATTTATATATTGAAACTCAAATCCCAAAGTGAATTTTTTAGGTGGTTGGGGCCTTTGGGAGGTGATTAAAACATAAGGATTGAGACTCCATGAATACATTTAGTCTCCTTATGAAAGAAGTCCCAGTGAGCTAGCTTGCAACAAGCTGGGAGAATGTGGATTCTAAAAGGAAGTGAGCCTTCACCAGACACCAATATGCTGTCATGTTGACTTCCCAGCCTCTATTTCTGTGAGAAATAAGTTTCTGCTATTTATGGGCCACACTGTTTATGCTATTTTGTTATAGTAGCCAGAATGGACTAAGACATAAAATATACATTAACTGTCGAGGATCTGAAATGGTTATTTAGCAAACTATTTGGTAAATAAAGAAGATTCACTTCACTTCAAACAAGAGGATATTTTCTAGAACATTTTGCTAAATTAGAAGAAATAGTATCCCTTTCAATTTTTGTGTTTCAGTGAAGTCCTTGTCATTGGATAGTGACCATTTATTTTAAAGATATGCTATAAACTATGTGTAAATCCTTAGGGTATTTACTATCATAGACTCCAGTGATCCATAATTTTCACAGCTAACAGCAAATAAAACTAAATTTAAGTCCTCTATCCTGAGACAAGTGCTGCAAATTAGTGAAATACATGAAACTCTGAAGAACTCACTTTTTGCTGGTGGGCAAAGGTATTACAAATTATATTAGTGGTTAAAAAGGTTATGGTGTATTCTGAACAGTCACCAAAAAAGGTGAAAAAAATCCCCTGATATAGATGAAGAACAGTAAATAGTAACATGATTTGGCACCAGAAACAAATATGTACACACCAAGCAAGGGTCTTTTAAAAACTGGCAACAATTAATGCCTCCAGGGGGAAGGAATACTTGAGTAAACCTGTATTATTAGGAAGGAAATACAGTGACAGAAGAGCTTCCATTACAGCAACCAGGTATGCAGTTAGTAAAGGAGCCTATGATTCCTCAGAGACCGATAGGGAACCTAAATACTCCATAAACAACTGACACTGGGCTTTTAAATCAAGGCAAATAAGAAGCTGTAGTCAAAGTTGAAATCCATTGACTTTCAATGTCCTGCTGTAAACTCACAATATTGTGGGAAGACATTTTTGGAAGGGAACGCTCTTTTGGAGTGTTTTTTTTTTTATATTCTCAACGTATGCCTTGATATTGGGGTTTGTTTAGTAGATGATTATCGTTTTTTTTTTTGGCAATGCAATAAAATGTATCTATTAAAAAGAAAAAAGCAGAATCTACCCATAAGGCTTTAATATTCCAAATCAAAACTTCTATCTAAGAATCAGAGGAGAAAGGAGACTAAGATCCCAAGGTCAAAATAATTTTTCAATATTCTCATCTTACCTAAGTAAAACTCTAAAACAGGTCTCAATGTTATCTACCTAATGTTTATTTTCGATACCCCTCTTTTAAGACACTCAAAACCCCTCTTATGTGTAGCATCTTGGAGTTTCTGAGGTCTGCTTTTCTGGGTAGAAATGGTAAAATGGTAGGTTTTCCATTTTACCTATCACCTAGCAAAATCTGGCATTTGGCATGGGCTTTCATTCTCTCACAAGTAGCTTTTGAGAAATGATTGATAAATAAATCTCTTTTAATAGGATCATCATTAAAGATCACTTAAAATGTGACCAAGCAGGTTTCAGGTCATACTAATATAGGTTGAAAATACAAAGCTTAGCTCAAAGGACTGAACTTAAAGTGACAGAATTTCAGGAAGTGAGGGACCCCCAAAGTGAGATCGTCCTGACCTCACAAAATCCATGAAACACCAGTCCTCAGTACAAACTGGCGTTTCTTTCTTCGTCTGAAAAGGTCTCAACTGCTGCACATTACATATTGGTACATCGACACACAGATTTTAGAATCAAAGTTCCTTTAGTTCTATGACAAAACAACTTATAAGAAGATACCTGAAGCCCATTTGTTTGTCTGAGGCAAAGGTGGCTTTCCAGACTCTTATTATTTGAAAGGAATTTTACAGCACAGGTTCAATTAAGTATTCCCTTCACAGTGCACACAAGCCCTGACTTCTGAAGAAACAACCTCCTGGTAATAGAGAATGTTTTCCCTAACAACTTTCATACTTTTTCCTCTGTCACTAGGAGACTGTTTGATGAAAAACATAAAAGTGAAATGCTACCTCTGTACATTTTCTCCATGGAGACAATTCATAGGCATATACAAATCAAAGCCAAGCCTGTGTGGATGGCAGTGCTAACCACCCATAAGTCATCAGTGACTGCAGTGGAAAAAAATCACTGCACACACCTGGAGAGACCACGTGCATTTGGACTTAAATGGGCTTCAAGATGCTCTGTTCTGAGAAAGTACATAAAGACACACACACACAGACACACACATCAAATTATGGTATCTAATCCTGCAAGAAACTGATTATATGTAGGTTGAGGGTGGAGTAGAGGAATAAAGTAAGAATAACTTGCTGATAAACAGCCTTCTAATCATAGACAAGAATGGGATTTTAACTATGAGATATCATCTCACCCCAGTTAGAATGGCTATTATAAAAAAGAAAGTGATAAATGCTAGCAAGGGTGAGGAGAAAGAAAAACTCTCATACACTGTTGGGAATGTGAATTAGTATACCTGTAGTGGAAAACAGTATGGAGTTTTCTCAAAAAACTAGAAAGAGAATTGCCATGTGATCCAGTGGCTTATACAAAGAAAAGGAAATCAGTATGACAAAGAGACATCTTTACTCCCATGTTTATTGCAACAGTATTCACAGTATCCAAGACATGGAATCAACATGGGTGTCCATTGATGAATTAATGTATAGAGAAAAGGTGGTATATATACATGAAGAATGGAATGCTGTCGTTTGCAACAACAAAGATAGACCTGGAGGTGATAGCATTAGGTTAAGTAAACAAGGCAGACAAAGGAAAGCACCATGTTTTCCTTTATATGTGGAAACTAAAAGGTTGATCTCATAGAGAGAATAGAATGGTGGTTGTCAGAGCCTGGGAAGGGAATGGGGTGAGGGCATGGAGAAAGGATGGTTAACACACACTGGGGTGCAACTAGGTAGGAGGAATAACTTCAAGTGTTCTAGAGCATAGTCAGACTGTAGGATAACTATGATTGAATAATATAACAATAATTGATTGATTTCTTCAAAACAGCTAGTAGAGAGAATTTTGAATATTCCTAGGACAAAGAAATGACAAATATCTGAGATGACAGATACATTAATTACCCTGACTGGGTCATTACACATTATATATATATATATATATCTTGATATAGCATACTGCCCCTCATCAAAATGCATAATTACCATGTTTCAATTAAAAATAAAAATGTATTTATTTTGAAAAATGAGATTTTTGTATAAGTCAGCTATACTACGAGTGCTATGGAATTTTTATAATTTTTATGATTGAGATTGAGGAGGAATAAAAACTTAAAAAAACAAACAAACAACTTTTACTTTCTAGACAGGACTGTCTTGATGGAGGAGTTTACAAGGTTTGAAGCTGCCTGCAATGGGTTTTTAAACAGAATTACTCCCAAACTCTAAAAAACACCACCCCATGCCATGTAAGTTTTTCCTCTGGGTGAGAAAATTCAGAGGGAGCAGGCAATAATCAAGCCTGAACCAGAACTAAGCAGGACAGTTATTTATTACATGAAACAAGGAAGAAAGGGGATTATTATGTCCATATCTTTATTTTTGTTTCATTTATCTTGC